TGGGTGTACAAATATTTCACAGAAAAATAATAACACTGAATCTACATAGTACTTCCAACCAAGTTATAATCATCTCCCCTTAGCCAGTCGATACAAGCAAGTTACCTTACAAACCCATTTAAAACAAACAAACAAACAAACAAACAAACGACACAAGTATAACCTTGACTAAATGAACATTCTCAACTCACCAAGTAGTATTGTAATGGATTTGGCCAAATATCATCTTTGATGACCTCTCCTAATTCATCTGCACCTGCATCAGAATGGTCAGTAAACCAGGTAAAGAAGCTCTCTGGTTCTTCATGCTGCCTCTTCCTGCTGGCTTTATTCTGTGTTTGACTGGAACGTTTCGTCAAGTCCTAAAAAATGGAAAGAACTTTTGATACAATTTCTCCACAACAACTCCAGTAATTTAAAAAATAAGACTTTCCCCAAAAGATAGATATCAGCATACTACCTACACTATCATAATTATCTAAGAGCAACTGTAAAATTGTACAGCAGGTAAAAAGAAAGAAGTCTTAGAATCAGGACCACAATATTGTTTTCCCTGGAAGAGAAGGCAACAAATTTGAATTTTTCATAAATTAGTTCTACTCAAACAACCACAATACAGTTATGAATATTTAAAATATATTTTACTGGCCGGGCGCTGTGGCTCACGCCTGTAATCCTAGCTCTTGGGAGGCTGAGGCGGGCGGATTGCTCAAGGTCAGGAGTTCAAAACCAGCCTGAGCAAGAGCGAGACCCCGTCTCTACTATAAATAGAAAGAAATTAATTGGCCAACTGATATATATATAAAAAATTAGCCGGGCATGGTGGCACATGCCTGTAGTCCCAGCTACTCGGGAGGCTGAGGCAGGAGGATTGCCTGAGCCCAGGAGTTTGAGGTTGCTGTGAGCTAGGCTGACGCCACGGCACTCACTCTAGCCTGGACAACAAAGTAAGACTCTGTCTCAAAAAAAAAAAAAAAAAAAAAATTCCAAGTCCAAACTCAGTGAGCATCTTTGGTTTTATAAACCTACTATTCACTAAAGGCAAATTGTTCAGTGTCAAGATGTCACTATCTTTCATCAAGCAATTAAATGGAGTTCCAAGTTAGAGAATTACCTCTTCTAAACAGACAAAAAGCATTAATTCCAAGTCTTCTCTCTTCTTTGAGGGTTTCAACCTCTGCATGCAACTCAGCATGCTGGACTAAGTCCTCACCAAGGTTCCTCCAAAAAATAAGCACCCTATGTCCTTTAATAATGCTCTGTCCACAGCATACCTTGTGGATGGTTGACGAATGTTGTTACCCAAAAATTTGGGATTTTGGCGATCAACTCTGACCTCTTCTGAAAAAATGGTTGGCGGAGTTTGTTATATTTCTGTTCTACTTTCAAAATCTCCTCACTGGCTTGTTCATTAAGTCTGAAGTAAATGAAAAGGCATGTTGACAATGATGGTATTTGACAAATAGAAAAACTGATAAACTACAGGATGTATATTTACTCTTATTAGCTTTAGAACTGTACAAAGTACCTATTACATAATATTCTTATCTCCTAAGTTTATAGTTACAGACTAAAAGTTAAAACTAAGATGGCAATCTTACCTGCTTTATCAATAGGCACTCAATAATGAACTGCTCTTAAGAGTGCCCAAACTGAGCATTCTGGTAACATTGTGTATTTACTTCATCTACTCTATTTCCAGGCAAACTTCAATTCTATTTCCCTCAGGCAGGATTTTTCTAGATGAAGCTGCTAATCAAGTAACAAAGTTATAATGCAAGTTAGAGCAACATTGATGCCACACTGCTAAACTATCAGAAGTCCTACACTGCAATTCAGACAATTTGTAGCCTTTGAAAACAAACCCAATCTTTGCAAGGTCAATGTACTTTCATCAAAAACTTTTGTGGGTGTACAAATATTTCACAGAAAAATAATAACACTGAATCTACATAGTACTTCCAACCAAGTTATAATCATCTCCCCTTAGCCAGTCGATACAGATCTGACCACTTTCAATGATCTGACCATGCTATTAGATGCATCTCAGAAAATTTCTCCAAATTAAGAAAAAAATGTTACCTGTCTATTTCATTTTGTACTTCATCAATATGTTCAATTGCTTCCTGCTGCTCTTTTTCTGTAAGAAAAAGGATCATAAAACTTAATTCTAATTAGAAGACAAATTTAACTAGTTTCTCAGATGTTAAAAAGACTGTCTGGGATACCTAAAATTACATCTTAATAAAGCTGTTAAACAGTGCTTACTACAAAGTATGCTCTCCACATGCTCACGTATATAGTTGACAAATTACTTTTTAATTAAAAGACCATTCGCAAATCACATCATCTGCTAGGTTACTCAGAAAACATTTTCCTGTAGTACTTAAGAGTTCCATTACAAGAGACCAATCAGTAAGATTTCTATTATTCAGAAATCTTGTTTATTATTTAGCAGATTATGCACTTGTAATACAATAGTACCACTTGCTAACTAGAATATGGAAACTAACTCATGGCAATGACACCTTAGGCCACCATCATCTATCCCAATCATAAAACCACTTTCCATACAAAGTTGAAGATTTTCCTCAATACCTATTACAAAGAAGACAACAGACACACCTACAAAGACAGGAAAGGCACTCACTCTGAACTATCCCACCATCCTAAACACTCAACCTTTGCCTTCCTAGAACCCCAGAATTTGAATCTCAATTTTCCAACACATCCAATGCAGTTCAGGCGGGCTGACTTCAGATTCAGCCCCACTCAATTTTGGAGCACACGATTACTGGGAACTACGAGGTCAGAAATCTACGATGCACGGAAGAGAGAGGGAGAAAAGGGGGTGTGCTCTGGAATAGGTGCCCTTTTGTCCTGTAAGGACTACAAGCCCCACAAAGCTAAGTGGGTGTGAAGGGGCCTGATCGCGCAGTTCATTTCCGGTAACCAACCCGGGATTGGCAGCCCCCCTGCCGAGAGCCTTCCCGGCAAAGGATAGGTTTCCCAAGAGCCATTTTAAAGACCCCCAGTCCCCTGGCCGCCGCTCCAAGCTGCTCCGCACGCTGGCGCGACGGGGTGGCCGCCCCACGTGGGGAGAGCGCCCAGGCCGGCCGGAGCATCCTCCCGGCCGGCCCAAGCCCAGCGTTCGGCCGGCCGCGTGCTCCCCCGCGCCCCCACCCCGCCCCAGCTCGAGGCAGAAGCCCCGCCGAGGCCAGCCTCCGGGCGGGGGTGCCGGGGCGGCCGCCGCTGCGGGCCGGGCGGGAAGGGGAGCCGCGCGGGAGGCCGGGCTCGGGGCCGCGTCCGGCCGCACCATGTGGCGGCGGCGGCGGCTGATGGGAGCGAGGCATCATGGCGGAGCACAATAAAGAGAGGCTTCTCGGGAGGGAGGGAGGGGGAGGAGAGCGAGGGAGGGGGGAGAGGAAGGGGGGGTCTCCTCCGCCCGCGCCGAGCAGGCCGCAGCGCCCCCGTCTCGCAGCGCCGGCCGCCGCCACGGCGCCACCCAGGTCCCCGGCCCCGCCGCGCACATAAAAGGGCGCCGAGCCCGCGGGCCGCGGCCCGGCTGCGCCGCCCCCGCCGGCGCCCCCCGTGGGCCGCCCGCGCGGCCTGCGGGCCGGAGCGGGCGGCGAAGATGGCGGCGCGGGCCGGCCCCCGGCCTCGCCTGCTCCTCACCTGAGGTCTCGTCGGCCCCGTCGTGGTTGGAGTTGAGCTCCTTTTTACTGACTTTGGCCGCCGGCGCCGACATGGTGCTGCTCCGCGGTCGGGGGGGGAGCGGGGAGGGGGAGAGAAGGGAAGGCGAAGGGGGCGGGCAGGCGGCTTCCCCTCACGCCACACGCGCGGGCGCTCGCTCGGTCCGGCCGCCTCCTCCCGGCGCTCGCTCGCTCGGTCGCTCTCCCTCCCCCTCTCTCGCTCGCGCGCGCTGTCCCCGCGGCCTGACGACGAGGGAGGGGCTGGGGCGGCGTGCCGGGCCCCGGCCGGGGCTCCTGCTTACGGAGGGGAGGCGGCGGCGGGCGGCTCGGCTCTCTCACTCGCGCTCCGCGCTCCAGCTCGCTGCTCGCTCTCCCCAGCCGCCTCCTCCTCCACCACCTCCTCCTCACGGCGAGGGGCGGGCGGCAGAGCGCAGGCGCGCCAGGCTCCGCGCGCACGCCCCGCCCCCGGCCGGAGAGGCTCGCGCCGCGTCGCCATTGGCCGGGGCGCCGGGACGAGGGGGCGGAGCGGCGGCGAGGAGACACAGGCCGGGCCAAGAGGCGGGAGGAAGGAGCGCCGCGACGTACGGGCCGGCCCCCGCGCCGCGCTCCCCTCCCCCGCTTTCCCCTTCTCCAGCCCGACCCGGGACATTTGCGCGCGGCGGGCGCGCGGCGGCCCGAGGGGCGGGGCCTCGCACGGCTGCGCGCGGGCCCCAGGGCGGCGCGTCACGTGGTGGCGGAGTGGCTTCCCTTCTCCACGGGGCGCGGAGGGGCGCCCGGAGAGGGGTGTCCACAGCCCCCAGAAGTGCGGGCCTCGTGGTAGCCCGCCTTAGCCTCGGGATGCCGAGCGCCACCCGGCGCCCTGGCTCGGGAAGGGGGCACCCCCGTCCTGGATTCCAGGTGGGGACGCTGCGGTTGGACGCAAACTCGGGCTTGAGTGTCCATTCTGCTCCCAGGGCCATCCTGGCTTTTAGTCCGTGCTCTGCCCAGCGGGCTATGTATCCTTGGGCAGGTCACCTTTCCTCTCTGAACCCATTTCTGTTATGAAATTATAAACATTGTGTCAGTTGTGACACTTAAGCTGCGCTACACTTAAACTAGAAGTGCTGCGAAGAAGGGGAGGTGCCACATTCAAACGCGGGTCCTTTTTGGGGAAACTCGGTCCCTAGTGCTCCCAAGAAACCACACTGAGTGCTAAGTGCAAGTCCCAGCAGGGCATGGCATAGGCGGTGTTCCGTACCCTTCACCACATCAGAGATGAACCGGGACAGCAAGGCCTGCTTTAGAGGCAATGCCCTGAACCACGAAGTGGGGCACAGGCATTTCTGTTTAATGCTTTCCATATAATGCGATGCACCACACTCTGCTACCTCCCCTCAAGGGCCCCAGTACAGGGATCACAAAAAGCCTGAAATCTCTCCCTGGGTGTTTGTAACCAGAATTTGGAGTTGGATTATTTGCCTTCCAGCACTCACATTTTACAATCAGCTCTTAAGCTCAAGCAGTGTCTTTAATGTTCAAGACAGTCCATGGTGGGTGATTGATAAATGTTAAATAAATGGCATACAGTCAATGGGCAGAGTATGCAAACAACCGTCTTCTTGAAACATTCCCCCAAACCCAGCAATTCATGTAATCCTTCCCCTCCAAACTATCTCAACTGGAAAAGCTCTTTAAAAGAAGAATTATTAACACCAATGATAAACTGGTAAAATGTTTGACAACCAGTTCCCAAGGAAGAGAAACAAAGAAACAAAAGCCCCTGATTTGTAGCATTCGTTGATTTCAGTGATGCTTTCAGCATAGCCAATTTCAAGCTGCTACTCTGAGGTCAGGAAACAGTTGCAAAGAAATATCACAATTGGTTCTAGCAAGAAGGCTCTGCTCTGCCCTGCGACTGCAGCATGTACCATGGGCCACAGGCTGTGATGACCACAAGCATTTCTGCTTCTGCTCCCTTACTCCTCACAAAACACAAGGTAGATTTTAGTATCCTCGTTTCATTGATAAACTAAACTTTGAAGCAAAGTGACAGAACCAAGACTTTAAACCAGGCTGTTGACAAAACCCTTACCCTAAAACAGTGTTTTTCAATTTTTAAAAATGTGACCAACAGTAAGAAGTACATTTAACATCATGACCCAGTACACACAAAACAATATTTACCCTAAGGGTGATATGACTGTAATTTTGTATTAGATTTTTTGTAATGCAGGTCTCACCCCACTAAATTGATTTCATGAATGGAAAGAAACTCAGTCTGAAAAACACTGTGCTGAGGACTGCTGCTTCCATCCACAAAGCCTGCTCCCCAGCGTGGTAACCACTGAGCCCCAGCATCTCCTAAGTGCCTGATCTACCTGCTCCCCACACATCTGTAGGGGTCCCAGGGAACCTTGTAATGCCTCCTGCCTACCCAATGGGCTTCCAAAAAGGCGCTTTTCTAACCTTCCCCACTACCCTTGCAGCCATCCCACTCCTCTTCCTGTCCTTTCCCACAGCACTTCTCCAGATGAATGCAAGGAGCACACGAAAGTGGAAGAGAAAGCAAAAGGGCAAGAGTGCTGAACAAGGGAGTGGCCTGGGCACACTAAGAGGTCATTCACCCGCTCCCAGGACTACGGTCTCTCCTGCTCTGCAACACCAGCAGCTCTGCAGTCTGTCCTTGGCCTCTCACCTCTCAGAATTCCTCCCACTCCTTCCCTTCCCAGCTTCCTTTGAATAGAGAACCCCACAGCCAGAAAGATGCTGGCAGTCCCCACAGTGCTGCAATGTCCCAAGGGCTGACAGGGCAATCTTCCACTAGGATGGCCTTGAGTGCCCCCAACCCCTCATACACCTCCTTTGAGCCTCCTTTTCCAGATGTGTGAAATAGGAATGTCCACAGCTCACTGCTGTCCTAAGGGCAGTAGGGGCAGAGAAGTGATTGGCACAGTGCTTGGCAGATCATCAGTGCCAACTGAGCAGCCAGAACTGTCACTTGGATTTAGATGAATCACCTCAGAGGGACAGTGAATGGTCTTCCCGTCCCTTCTGGTTCTGTTAATTCTTGTGGGAAGCTAAATGGAAGGACCAGGTGGACTCACCCACATTTTGCTGTCCACAAGTGAAAAGGAATTTACTGCCCATCACTAGAACGCTGATTATGTGCCAGTCGCTGTCTTAGTGCTCTTCCTAAATTAAAGCCTCACAGCAAGCCTGGACATAGGTACTGTTGAAGCCACTTTCCAGTGGAGGAAATAAGCACGGATTGCGTCTTATGTTGCTTGCTGGAGAAGGTAGGTTTAAACCCTGGCAGTCCCCACACTGGGGCATCAGCTGGGCAGGAGGTCTTTGCATCCCATTTGGAAGGCAAGGGACTGAGACCCAGTAAAGTGACACAGCTCCACAGGAGCACGGAGACTAGGACTCCTAGTCCAGTGCTCCTTCCACAAATGTGGCTGACCCTCAAGCCAAATCAGTGCTTCCTGGCTGCTTTTGTATCTTGTACCAATCCAAACTCAACCCAAAAAGGGCCCACCACATCGTTTAGGGATGTTATTAGGAAGACCTAATTACAACAACAGTCAACTTTGTCTCCAGCTCTAGGCTGTGTCTGCGAAATACAACCCCCACCTCCAAGTTTAGTGGTCTAATGGGGGAAGAGCAGGCAGGAAACTGATGATTACAATGTAATGACACCAGGGCCAGGACAGAGAGAAGCTGGGCAGAAGAGGGCTCCCAATGACCAGGAACTGAGTTCACAGGGGAATGCCTGCAAGAAATGGCTTTCTGGCCGAGAGCTGGAGGGTGTGCACAGGAGAGTAATCCTTACAGAGGACAAATGGGTGTACAGGCCCCAAGGAGACAGTGTAGACTCCCAGGAGGGGAGGAAAGGTTGAGAGTACCAGAGGGAGGCCTCCAGACTGAGAGTGTGACCAGGAGCCATTGGGAGGGACCAGGTGGGTGGCCCCGGCGACTCTTAGCACCTGGAGGGCAATGGGGAGGAAAGGGAGGGTTTTAAGCCAGGGACTGGGCCACAGGATTGGCTTTGCTTAGCCCAGATGGCAGGAGGAGGAAGCTGGAAGCCAAGAGGAGGAGGTGGCAGTAATTCAGGCCACAGTTGTGGGCCGCCGGCGGCACAAGACAGAGGTGGACGGGTATGAGTGGGATTGAGGAGGTAGAGCCACCAGGGATCGGGGATTTGGCTGGACGTGGAGGGTGAAGAAGAGGCCTCCGCCTGGCTGGTGGTGCCGCCTGCCAAGACAGGGAGCCCCGGGAGGGAGTTTGGAGGCTGGGAGACAAGCGCAGGGCCAGTGGTGCGTTGGGGGCAGGGATGAGCTCCCACGTGCTCCGGGTCTCCCAGTTTCACCCCTTCCGTTCTTTCTTCACATAAACCTGGTACACCTACCCCAAGCTTAAAACCGTTCAGGGGAGTTTGGGGTCACATCTCAAGAGGAATTAGGGAGCGTTAAAAGTTACAGCGTCAATCTTTGCAAATCCCCTAAATTTCCAATAAAATGTAATGCAGAAGCATACCTTTCTTCTTCGGCAAGCCCGGAGAGGCCGAGGCGTCCTCTGGCTTCGGGGCAGCAGGCGGTCTTGGTTTCTTCTTCTGAGGCGGGAGCGGAGACTGGCGTTTGGGGGCCATGCTGCCAGGAAACGCCAAGAACCAGACCGAGGTATGCGTGCTGGGCTGCAAGGAGCTCAGGAAATTGAGGCAGCCCCAGGTGCTGGGGGTTTAAATCTGCTCTGGAGCCGCCCTGCCTGGAGGGGATATTTACATGACAGTGGGACAGACGCCCCATGCCCCCTCCCCCAGCCCCATTCCTTCCCACCACCCTCCAATCAGGATAAACTTCTTTTAGTTGCCCTTTGCCCCACTCAGCAGGAGCACTCTTGGCTTTAGAGGAGGGGGCAGGTTCTTCCTGGTTCTGTGCTGTCCACATCTCCTGGTCTTCACCGGAAACACCAGCAGCCCATCTCCGGTTCCCAATCCCGCAGGTAGGCAGGCCTGCCCCTGTGGAGAACTTGGCCTTTTCTTTTTCTCCTTTGGCCTCCAGAGGATTTAAACACATGGCGCTGCCTCACCTCACCCTGGGACATTCCTCAGTCACCCCCACCCCCACCCCAATGTCTGGCTAACGCCTTCCTAACCTCCCGGTCTCTGATTGGAGGGAAAGGCTTGTCAATCAAGAATTACAAAGGGGGGAAAAAGCAAATACCCTTGAGAAGAGTGGAAGCATCCATCCATTCTTCTTCACATACTCCAGAGAACAGAGATTAAGAGCTAGAGGGCATCTTATCTGGGGAGGAGGAGGTCAGAACCCCCAGTGCCTTTGGGGGCCTGTAGATTGGTACAACCACTCTGGAAAACTGGGCCAGGTCTGCCAGAGCTGACTGTGTGTGCTCCCTTACCCAGCAG